CCTCCGGATGGAGTATCTGCCAGGGGAGAGAGTTTCACTGTTCTTTGCTGAGTCCAAACTCTCAGCATGACAGACAGGGCACTTCAGGACCTGTCCCCTGCATGCTTCCCCACCCTCCTCTTTCATGGCTCGTTGCACTCCAGCACTCGCAATCCTAAGCAGACCCACACAGCAACAGAGGGATCTGGGGGTGGGATAATATCTGTGGTCTTAGCAATGGTGCTGTCACCGGGCTGAAGGTGCTACCTGAGACCATCAATAGCATTTTCAGAGTTGGGTAGGTGACACTGTACCACAGCTGGGATTGTTTATTGTGATCAATGAAAAGATAGTTAAGCAAGAGCTAGGAAGAAATGCAAAAGAAGCTGGAAGAGATAAGAAATAATTAAAAAGAAATTGCATTTGTAAAGTAAAAATTTGGAAAGTTCCTTCAGAAATCAGGAAAAATGTTACAAAGAGATTAATATACATATATGAATCTATATACACACATATGTACACACACACACACACACACACACATATTTATATATAGTTACAGGTTGAATTGTGTTCCCCAAAGTTTCATAACAGTGTTGAGAGTGGGAAACCTCAACATGGTAATTGAAAGGTGGGGTCCTTGGGAGGTGATTAGATTGTGACGAGACCATGCCTTCGTGAGTGGATTGATCCATTCATGTAGAAATAAGTTGATGGTTTAGTGGGTGGTAATAAGTGTGGTTCTGATGGCTTTATAAGGAGAGTGAGGGAGTGGGTCAGCTCTCTTACTCCTGCCTTTCTAGCCATGTGATACTCTGCGTCGCTGTAGAGTGTCACCACCAACAGGAGCAAGGCCCTCACCAGATGTGTTTCCTGGACTTTTGACTTCCCAGCCTCCAACACTGTAAGCAATAAATATCATTTCCTATAAATTATCCAGATGCAAGTATTCTGTTATAAGCAACAGACATGGACTAACATATATATGTATATATATATTCCTGAGGGAAAATTCCAGAAAAAATAGAATGGAAGAAATGACAAAAAATAAAACTTTTCTGATCTGAAGAAAGGCCTAAGTCTACAGATTAGAAGATGTCATTGATATCAGGCATAATTGTAAAAAGAGAACAATATTTGAGCATATCCTGATGACACTTTGAATTTCAAGGCTATGTGAAGGAACTGAAAAAGAGTCCAGACGGGAAAAATACATTCTTTGTAAAGAAAGACAAATCAAACTCACCCCAGATTTCCTTACAAAATTAAATGCTATCACACATTGATAGTAATTTTGAAGGAAAGTGTCTATGATCTCAGGACTATATGAGCACACCTAGGTGTATTAAAATAAGAAAGCAAAGCAAGTAAGGAATTTGTAAATATGCAAGAGCCAGAAAGTATATCACCTATAAAAATAGGTCCTAACTTTTTTTTTTTTTTTTGAAAACTTACTCCATCTAACCAAGAAATGTCTCAATATAAAGTAAAATCCTGGTTTGGGAGGAATTAAAATGAAACTATTGATTTCTTTATCATAAATGGGAAAGCAATGGTGTGTGAGTGTGTGTGTGTGTGTGTGTAATATTTTTAACTAGAAAATATAGGTCCAGGAAAACATTTAAAATTTCACAAGTAGAAGTAAATCTACAGGTAGAAGTAAAAATAGATGTGTTCCATCCAATTATTTAGGAGAAAAAAGAAAGGCCTAAGTCTACAGATATACAGGCTGTATAGCAAAGATAGGGAAAAGAACAAAGCCATTAAGTTTAAGAAATGGGAAATGTAAAACAAGATAAAAGAAGTAAGATTAAACATATCATTTATGATGAAAATGTAAA